GATTCTTTCCACTATCGGCTTTCTATCGTTGCGATCATCCATCTTTTCATTCACTCGGATTCCTTCGGAGAATCAAGTTCCCGACTTCTGCCTTCGTGAAGATCGAGAACGGGCGTGTCGTACACATTTCTAAATATGTCGCTATATCGTACCGCGGCCGATTGACACCAACAGACAGATAAGCTTTCAAGGTCGTGTGGACACCTCAACAGCTGATACAACTTCGCCTAGGATCAGACAGCTAGGTAGACAGCTCGCGGCTGAGCGCACGGACGTACGGTCTCGCCTTCTCAAGAAGCGATTCGCAGCCATAGAATAATCTTGTTGTTAAATTGACCTTCACTGGCCTCCCGGGCCATGTGAGACCGTGTTTTTCTGGTTGTTCCTAGCAGTTCCTAACTTATCCCATGTGAGGAAACTGAAACACGATAGAACTGTTATCAGACCTTCGAAATTTCCTTTCATCTCTAGCACTAGCTATCTCTCCGAACGAATACCACGTAACTAGTCCCAAGATTCGTTCCACTCTTCCGTTTGCTACATCGGTTCGGCGGCGCATCCCTTGAACGATTCGACACAATTAGATCCGGTTCAGTCCTTCCATTTACTCATGTCTAGGTAGGTATGCTTTCGCCATTAGCACGGAAGATTTCTTATCTACGTGTTTCCTTGTGGTGAGTTTTTTTTCCCAATCCTATATAAAATCTGAACTGGCGGTATCTTGGCATCCTAGGTCTCCACTTGTTGATCTGCTTTGGGCCCCTCCCCACTTCGCCTCCTACCGCTCAGGCAATGGCCGCACGCGCTGAAGTTCCTGCAGTATACGACGGCGACCAGATCGAAGTCCCTTATCGAAGGGATCTCAGTCGAAACCCATCGAGTTTTGACTACGTGGGCAACGAGAAAAAAGCTCTGGACGATATTGAGGACGTCGATAGCAAAGAGCTGGACAATGAGGGGCCAAGTACGTCAAATTAACCGGAGAATCGCTCATGGCTGACAAAATCTTCCCCCTCCCCTACTCCAAACAGATGAGGACAATGACCCAGCGTACACCCTTATTCCTCAAATAGTCAGAGACCTAGTCGATTTTGAAGACGATCCGACCATGCCTGTCATCACATGGAGGTACGTCTCCCTATTCTCCTACCTGTTAAGTTTTATGATATATTCGATCTTATTCGCTCACTCTCTTCCGATATAGGTTCTTCTTCCTTTCCGGGACTCTGACAGCCCTTGGAGCGTAAGTAAAGGATGGAGTGTTCTCCCGTAGAGCCTGATGCTCAAACGTACTTAGATGGCTAACACAAATGGGGTTCTTCAGAGTGAGTCATCCAATCTTTCTTTTTCCGTTCGACCTAAAGGAATTCCGCGTGCTTTAGACGACCTACATTCCGTATTCAAGTAAGCCGGTGAATTCAAGTGGATTAATTTCCGATGTCTGAATTTGTTTCTCTTCTTACTAGTCTACTTCGTTCAAATCGCGTCCTTATACTTTGGCCGCATCCTCGCATCCTCACTTCCTCAGAAGAAACTCGGTTTTGGAAAGTACTCTTTTGACCTCAATCCCGGTCCGTTCTCGGTCAAGGAGCATGTTGCCATCGTTCTAGCGTACGGTCTAGGTCTTTCTCTAGAAGCTGACATTCTTGCTTAAAGTTCCCTCCACTCCCACTTTATAGTGCTAATACCGGCGCTACTAACAACCTCGGAGATTATGTTCTTGCTCCGTTGCAGATATTCTACAACGAACGTGAGCATCCGTCTAAAAGAACTCTTTTTTTTTTTGGAACTTTTCTAATACTGGTATCGCCGCAGCAATGAACGGATGGGTACGTTTTTTTTGGACTGGTAGCCATCCACAATTGACGATCAAATGACCGGCGTAGCTTGCCATCTTATTTATGGTGAGTACAAAATCCTAACTGCAAACTCTTTCTAATATGACGTCGTCCTTCTCTGTCTTCAGCTGTCGTGTGTCTTTATAGGCTTTTCGTATGCCTCCTTCGCTCGAGTGTTCTTGATAGAGAACCCCAACACTCCGTACGTCCATTTCTAATATCGTTGGCGGTTCACCGTACTGAAAAGCAAACTTGTGTTCGCAGTTTCCCCATAGGTGCTTTACCGTTTCGTCATCTTACAAATCTTCAACTCCCAGCTTACGGTTGGATCATCCTACTTAGCTCTTCAGCAAGTAACCGTATTCAATGCCATGCGCAAATCCTCGGAAGAAGATGCGGCTGGGGCTAGGAAGCAAATGAGAGTCTTCTGGTGGACGATTCTGGGCTTCTTCCTTTGGCAGTTCCTTCCTGAGGCGAGTAAATACTCAAATGGAAACTTTTCTTTTAACGCCGCTAAAACCAAGAATTAGTACGCTTTCCCTTTTGTGTCGTCCTTGGCATTCCTTTGTTGGTTCTCAAAACACCCAAAGGCGCAATTCCTCGGTATGATGCCCAGGTCTCTACCCAAGTTGGGGATTCGTAGCTGACGGGGTAAATCGTAGGTTCTGGGTTGGGAGGCGCAGGCTTTTTGACTGTTACACTCGACTGGTCAAACATCGGATCTCAGTGCATCTACTATCCCTACTGGACTCAAGTCAACATCTTCGCTGCCTTCGTACTTGGGGCATGGATTCTCATCCCGGCGGCTTTCTTCACCAACGCATGGGACTCCACTCTGTATCCAATTCAATCACAAAGTTTATACCTAAGAAACGGATCCATTGTGAGTGGTTTAGCTTCTCCTTTCTAGGAACAAAAAAGCTCATAAGGTGGGGTGGTGGTCAATAGTATCCAACCGCCGATCTGTTAACGGCGGACAACCGTCTGAATGAAACACTCTTCGCTGAAGTCGGCCCACCGATGATGTCTGCCCAACTGCGGTGGGGTTGTGAGTTGATCATTCAATTCGGTCTGAACCTGGGTTTGCTCAACGAAATTTGTGTCATCATATAGACTTCGCCGCCTATGTCGCGTACATTGGGTCCTTTGTTTCCTGCGGTCTTTTCCAGGGACCTCTGCTTTGGAAGACATTCAAGTCTTATCGGCAAGCGAAACCGAGTTCTGACGACAAATTGACTGAGATCATCCGCCGATATCCTCCGGTGCCATTATGGTGGAACTTGCTTCTCTTTATGTATGGCGTTATATGCTTAATTGCTCGTTGGATACTCGCTAAAAAAAACTCTTTCAGCGTCCCTGTCATCATCCTAATCGTACTGACGGCGAAGGGTGTTTGTAAGCTTGATCCCCCCTAACCCCGATGAATACTCACAAGCTACTCAGTGTATATGCCAATTTATATGCTATTTATCGGACTTGTCATAGGTGCAGTCATCGTGCTGCCAATGGGTGCGTCGGAGCGCTTATTTCTGTCGACACGAAGTTGCTTAACAAAGGCTCTTTGAACAGCATATATATACTCTGTTAGTGGATATCTGATGCAAGTCGGCTACTTCAACGAGCTATTTTATGGTTATGCGATCAATCTTGGAGGTTCAAGACATCCTGTAGGCTCATTGAGCTATCGAGTGATAAGTGGACAATGTAAGTTGTCTGAATGACCTTGTACAAATGTATTCATCCTTATTGCGTACGATTTCATTGGATTGGATTGCTAGGCTGGTACGAAGCTCAAAGCATGCTCGCTGATATGAAGCTGTGAGTAGACGTTATTTCGCTATAAACAAGAGACGTACTAAGCGTACCTGCTCATTCAGCGGCCACTATGTGAGTTTCAGGCGCTCTTGTTGTCCGGTCGGGCGTTGAAATTAGGCACTAGTTCCATATTCCTCCCCGGAAGGTCCTATTGGCACAGGTGTGGGGAATCTGTGTAGGGGTTCCCGTGAAGTAGATGTTTTCATGCTTACTGGGACTTGCACGAGCTGACTTGAATTTCATAGCTACGCCACTAGTAAGTACCTCGTAAAAACTATTCCTATATAACGGCCGTTCAACGTCTTTCAAGTTCTTTGGGTCTGCCGGACCAAGGGCGATGTGCTGCGGGGGCTTGTGACAGATCCAAATAGGCAGTGGACCGTACGTGTTTTTAATTACAGAAATAACGTTCAAAACGTTGATTTGAGCAGGGTCAAACTGTAATATCTCTGAATAATCAAAGTATTTCGTTCGCACTCGTCGGGCCGAAACGGTTGTTTGCGGATCCCATATATACTCCCATGGTACGCATGAGCATTCGTTTCCGAAGAGTATTATTGATGGCTCGATGCAGCTCTATGGGTTCCTGGTCGGAGCTATCGTTCCCTGCATCCTCTATTTACTCCATCGCACCTGGCCAAAGGCTCGTTTCGATCTCTGGAGTGTACCCGTGTTTGGCGATACTTTCGAGAACTAGTCCGTGCCGTTGCATTTGTTACTTACGGATATCAAACTACAAACTAACATCCGGATAGCTACGGTAACATAAGCGTGTTCATCTTCACCCTCTTTTTACTTGGATCGATCAACCACCTTTGGATCAAGCGCTGTGTGTATTGCCAGATTGTTTTATTAAAACCTAGGGCGACTGATGACTCCATTTTCTCCAAAAGATTACTTCTCGTTTTGGAAGAAATACGCTTATTTACTTAGCGCAGCTGCCGATACAGGATATAACTTCAACTTATTGATCATATTTATCGCGTTCAGTGCCGCAAAGACAATTCCTATGGCGAACTGGGTGCGTGTACTATTAGCTAGATTCGTCTTCGAGAAGCTAAAACATCATTTCAGTGGGGAAATAACCCAGACTCTGTGGAAAGATGTGAGAATAAGTCATCTCTTCAAATCTGTTGGATCTAATGCTTTTTTTGCGCAGGTTTTCATGTGCCAATTCAAGGAGTAACGACCTGAGCAGTTGACAGATATGTCCGCAGTTGTGTGATTTCTTGGGCTTCAATTTTTTTTGTGGAGTACTACCTTGTAATATACGGAAACAAAACAAAATGCGAGAAAATCGATCCTGTTTGTGGTGAACAGCAAAGGCGAAAAAAACAGATAATAAAATGGCCAACGTGGGGATCGAACCCAAGACCTTCGCGTTGAACAGACATTGCAAGCGCACAGGGTAAGCAGTGCGCTCGCAACATCCGTATTAGCACGACGCTCTAACCAACTGAGCTAGTCGGCCATATTTGTAACGCCCGCTATATATTCCTATATTCATAAAATCCAGCGCTTGTTGTGATCGCCAAGCCAGGAGCATTCCTTCGGCGAACAAGACTGGGATGATTTCCAGGTGCTCCGACTGACCCGGATAGCAATGCGAGCCAAGATGGAGATGAGGGCCACATAATGGTGAATAAATGCTGTGATAATGAGCGTTCGTGTCAAGACTTAGAGTCCTCTATGTGGAAGTGCTTCTATTCTGTTCTCCGCTATCCTATTAGAAAGTTCTGTTTTATTTTCATACTGATAGGTCATCTAGAACGGTTGGAGCGATATTTTTCTGTAATAGAAAAGGAGCTTCGATTATTTTGTCCTCTCTCTATTCATCGCGCGAGTCTTCTTAAAGCCTGGACCTGTGACGAAAGAGTTGACTGGCGGTAATGATTGATGCTGCTCTACGTTTGCCGAACCTTAATCAATAGTCGCAGCATCACTACGGACTTAAGCGTTCGCTCCTTCAGCCTTAATCTTACTACGTGCTCACTGTTGCTATTCTGAGTAAATTATGTCCTGTTTCGTCATGATCCCTTCTTTTAGTTTTTACCTATTCCTCAGCCATTTCTTTCACAAACTCCTCCTTTCCTCGTAGATCACTATTTTCTATTTCCCTTACCCTCCGTCCTCTGTTGCGAATCCTCCCCCGTTCCATTCCTATTCCTACTCCCTCGTCACATCTCTTTCCTCCCGCTCTGTTACTCTTGAGTCTTCTATTGGAAGCGGATTAAGTTCTCTTCTCTCTTTATCCTCCTAATTCATGCAGGAGTGTGCTCCAATAATGAGACAGCAAGGCGGGGAAAGTGCTTTAATGTTAGCAAGAGGCAGGCTGCAGCAAGTGTTGAGAGTAGCAATAGGTGGTCCATTGTTTTAATAGAATTTCCAAGTACAACTGATTCCTGTCCTGAGTACTTGTCTGCTATACTGCACTGGCCGCAGATCTGACTTTTGTCTAATGGCCCTCTATTCTATTTCCTTCGCGTCCATATTCTATGCCCTGTTACCTGTACGTAATTTGTACTCAGGACATGATGTTGAAGTCATCTAAAAACATGCTGGAGCATCCACCATGTTTATAGTAATCGCGCAGTGACCTGTGTGCCAACGAAAATGGATCTGATATCAAGTAAGCATCTGGTTTTACCTCTGAGCCTGGACTGCTAAAACCATCCAAGCAATCAAGTAAGTGTTAAAGAAGATGGAGAAATCAATTGTGACTTAGAACCTGTCCTATCTGAAGTCATGGTATAAACTGTGTATAAATTATTTGGAAACCCCGAATCCACTACTTGTCATCCACTCCCGCCGACCCCGCACTGACAGCTGGGAATAATTCCGCGTTATTTATATAAAAAAACACCTGAGTTTGCATTGTAGTCTTGTTTACAGGCTGCCGTCATCCATGGATAAGTTGATGGTATGGAGGGTTTCAAGTACAGGAGAGCTATCTTTGTTTATCAGAATGATCACTGCGACCGGATACCATGCCTAAGAAACCATATCACTGAAATTAATTTGGTCTAGAAAATGAGAGGGTAAAGCTTACAGCAGTCACAATGAAGATGTCATTGACAACTGTCAAGATCTGTGTAACCCCAAGCGTCATGTATGCATATGTATTCCACAAAGTAGAGATAATGTAAGCCAGCTGTATTACACAATATATAGTGCCAGATTCAATGAGCAGAAGTAGAATATTCTGAGCTCTAGTTCTTTTGTGGAATGCGGCTTCGGCCATGACATGGTGGTGTTTCCTGCAAGCATTAATTGAGAGAAGGATGACCACACTTAAAAGCAAGACCAAATGATTTACCTGGCTTTCCTTGCAATTAAGCATGTTGCAAGTACATTGACAACAAGTGATAACATAGTTGATAACCAGTCTAACAGTGAACAATCACCAGCAACCACCACCTTGACCTCAATGTTATCAAAAATGCAATCTGCAATGTTGAGACCTATGTGGAGATATTAATTTAAGTTTGACTAGGTCATAAAGACCTCAGAGTTAGCCTTGGATTTACTATTTACGCACCAATGTTGGTAATCATGAGAAAGGCAAGTATGACCTTCCACATCCTATCGTGTCGAAACAAAACCCATGCCCTCCAAACCACAATGAAATCGCTTATAAGCATCTAGATAACATCAAAGCTTTGAGTGGGGAATCAAGGTAGCATACTAACGGTGATTGTTATCACCCATATCGGCATATACTGCAATGGCAAGGATTTATTTGATGCAGTTTGGATTTGTACTTCAACTCTTTCTTCAGATACCATGTGAATGAAAGGGAATTGGAAATCCAGTAAAGCAGTTCCCGCAGTGCTGAAGACATTCCAGGTAAATACCACACTTATTGTGACGAGACATGTGAGAAGTGCAAGGTTTGAGCGGGTCCGGGTTTGAGTTCTGTCAAGCAGGTAAGTTCGCACATGCACGTTAGGTAAAAATTCGGCACTCCATACGCATATGGGTGAAGAGCAATGAATAGTGCTAAAGTGAATGCACCTTCGCAAAGAGGCAGTCAGTCATTGACAAGTTTGGCCTGGAACAGATTGCTATATTGTCCAGTCAGACTTACCGTAGCCAGTTACAGTCATTATGAGATCCATGGTATCAATATAACAATCAGCTGCTAAAGACGCGATTTCCTGTTGCTCTTCCGGGGTCATCAGGTATGATGTGGGGGACACCCGGATCGTTCATGACTGCAGGCCTTCTACTTATACGATCAGTGGCCTTGCTGTCTGTTAATTGAATCATAATGATGGTGATTATTTCATGTAGCACTAGCAGAGAGCCTAATTGATCGTATTGCTCATAGAATTCGTGATTTTCGCTGAATTTTGAAATGAATATTCTCGCTCAAAGTGTTTCCATGCTGAGTGTAATCGAGTAATGATCCAGTTACATACAGCTTCCGTCAAAAAAGATGCCGATGAAGATTCCTATCAGCGACCGATAGAAAGAATACTCAAGATCATCATCCAAGACTTGCTAGTAATGTAGATATTTTCAAGACTTCACTGGGAAGTTTCCTGCTTCTCTGATCCTAGGCTACATATTCGGGAGTGATGCCTCTACTGATTTCCTCTGAACGCGAAGAGTTAAGAATCATGTAATAATTCTGAATTCCATTCTCTGGGGGTTGATTCCCGTAGTGTAAGTGCTTGGTAGTGGACCATTTGTATCGTCATTAGTGAATGATACATTGATTAGTGCATCTATGTCCTAGGATCTCCGTAGAGTTCAATTTGGATCCGCGAAGCTCGCTCCTCTCTTTGCTACCTGTCTAGCGTTCCAGAATTTTCGTTGATCATTCGAAACGCATGTGACAGCAGTAATTGTCAGAGTTATCTGCGACTTTCCCATAAACGGCATGCTTTTTATTCACCGAATCTGGTATTCTTTGCTGAAGACGCGGATACTGCATTGAGATTTTCAGCGATGATCGCCTCTTTTAATTTACCAGGGTGATGCGAGATGGAGATTTGGAAGCAGTACATCTTGAGCAGGAACCTTTGGGTATCATGTATTGTCATTTTTGTCCCCATTCCTGATGTCTGCCACATCATTTCCATTGTCATTATGTATAGAGATTAGGTTCATAGGTTAGGGATTTCGGCCCGAATGGATTTGGAGGCGTCAGAACAGTTTCTTTCTGATCAAGAAATACGCGCCATATATATAGTGTAGTAAATATGAAAAATATCTATAAAGTTGTCCCGACCGCTGCTCGCTAGTACAGAAATGCGCCGTCTGGTCCGGAGCTGCCAGTGATAAGCTCAGCGCGCTGTATTGAGTGCAGAGTAACTTCTTATGGAATTACTTGCTCAAGAGAAAAAGCTTAAGATCTTAATAATGGTGCTCCGCCGGAGGGTTCAGGGGATGAGCACAATGAAAATTAGATCAAGTATATTGAACCCTTAAATTGCCCTTAAAATGATCCTAATTAAGAGGCACTATCAGGACCTCAGGACCTAAATTTGTTCAGTGGGGTTAATTAAGGCCTTAACACCAACACTGTGGTCAAATTGGAAGATTGTCTATTAACTTCAAAAAAATTATTAGTTCTATCTTATATAACAACAAATATACTGCTGTTAATTGTACAATGGGTATGACCCGTACCCGTTACCGTCCCAACCGATTGTACTCTAAAATACGGTAGTACCCGTATACAGCTACACGGTGATATGCCCTAATATTATTAAGTAGTTCCGGTGAAGTATTGATTTTGAAAAAGAAAATCAGCCGCTTTCACATGTAAATGGAGCTTTTTATGTTTTTCAAAGTTGTACCTAAAAATCTCAGGGTCATGGTTGGATGAAATCAGATAAAAGTTTTAGATAATTCATTGTAAAAATACATATGAACTACAATACAATTTTCAGCAATAACTTAATCCCAAGATATTCCTGCTCCAAATTCATTACTCGTTGACGGTCTCGCACTGCGCAGGCCCTGTATTCACCTGTATTGACTCCCACAAACATCTTCCGCACTTTTTTAAATTCAAGAGGCGCCCAAATCTAGAATATTGTCATCCCTACAGGCTATCATCATCCATGGTTAGGTTGCCGTTGATCGTATGAAGTGTTTCGAGTACAGGAGATTGATCTTTGTTTATCAGAATGATTACTGCAACTGGATAACAAGCCTACATAATTCAATTAGCTTGGCTCAGAAAATCAGAGCGCAACACTCACAACAGTTACAATGAAGATGTCATTAACAATAGTCAATACTTGTAGAGCCCCAAAAGTCAGATCTGCATATATAGTACATAGAGTAGAGGCAGTGTAAGCCAGCTGTATTACACAATATATGGTACCAGATTCAATCAGCAGAAGGAGGATATTCTGAGCCCTAGTCCTTTTGCGGAATGCAGCTTCTGTTACAATATGGTGATGATTCCTGCAACCATTATTAGTTAAAGAGAAGGGACCAGGGCAGCCACATTTG